TAGTGGAAGATAGCGGAATCCTTGAGGAGCTTGGGAGGCACGTCTTACCCCGAGGGTGAAGTTCTCTGGGATGCCTTAGCGCCCGGCTGTTGACGACCCCACAGCTTGCGCTGCCCTTCGGGCAAAAGCCAGCACGTCTGAAGCAGACCTCAGAGCTCGGATGGGCGGAGAGGAAGAAGTGCCGGGCAAAGGATGCGCCATTTGGCACCTAAAAAAGCAAGCAGACCCGCAAGAAGAACGTAAGCCCCAACCCAAGTGGTTCGTTTTGGGCTACAAGGGGTAAACATCTCAGACCTCGAGTCAGCTTCCTTCGATGCGCTCACTCGAGAAGCCCACTCGTCACCGCTGCGCGAAGCCTTGGGGCTGTGTTGGCATCTTTTCTTTAAGAGATCTTAAGTTCTAATGATGTCTCCCGGCTGACTTAACATGCTGAAACCCAGCTGAGTATTTGGCCAGAAGCGCATCGGAAGCCTGCGGGGCAGCATTCAGTCCAGAGTCAAGAGGGCATGGACATCTCGATCTGCATCCCCGAGACAAACATCCCAAGCCTTACAAAGACAAATAAGCAAATAAGAACACTCCTCAAGCTCATTCTGCCTACTCGTCCCCAAACTCACGTTGCAAAAACCGAGTCGTCGGAGTCTAAGCGAGTCTAAGCGACAGCGTATTCGTCTCTGAGACAGTGTCTTCCCGGCGTGGGCCTCGGATGTGCGGCTGAAGCCAGCTTCCGAAACGTCCCTGGCCACCTCCGATGTGGGCTGCTTGATGCTTTAAATTCGGCCCCTTGGCCCCCTGGCCGCTTGAAGGCGTCAGAGGTTCCCAACAGAGACTGCTTCCCCCCCACCTTGAACCCCCTCCCAATGAAAAACATCTGGTGCTGTGGTGGTGCTGAAAGCACATTTTGCTCGGGTGTTCTGCAGTTTTGAAAGTTCGCTACCAGGACCAAAAAAATGTCGGCGGAAAGACTTACAAATGGCAGCCAAATCTTGTGTGAAATCTTCCTCCACATCGAGTTGGCATCGCCAAACAACATGAGTACAAGTTGTTCGAAAGAGATCTGGGTTGATCTCCTTGCCACGCTCATGGAGATTGTCAAAGATGTCCTCACCAATGGGCCCATGGGTTTTCTCGGCCTGACCCAAAGCCGCATCCTCTGCCAAGCCGGGCCGAGGCGGCGCGCAGCGTTTGCGCAGCGTTTGCAATGGCTTGTCTTAACTCCAAGGAAACCATAGCTTAAATACAGGGAGAAGGAGAGGCAGAAAGAAAGGGAGGTGGCGAGGCACCGACAACATCACGTCATCCGACAGCCCGGCTGAGGCAAAAATCACCACGACCACCGAGGAGTCCCCAGGAGCAGCGTGAGCAGCGTGAGCAGCGTGAGCAGCGTGAGCAGCGTGAGCAGCGTGAGCAGCGTGAGCAGCGTGAGCCAAGCAGCTAGGGCTTCTTTTTTGCACGCTCTGACGAGGCGCCTTCTGGGCGAACTGCAGGATGTCAGACCTGAACCCGAAGGCAGGTTCGCAGCGCAGGTTCGATGCAAGATGCGTAGCGGAGAGCACCGAGACAGCTCTTCAGAAGCTCGGGCAGCAGCTCGCTTGCGATGCTCGAGGCGGGTTTTCCAGGCCTTCAGATCGCCAAAAGGCGCTCGCAGATGTTGTCTTAGAGTATCTTAGAGTCTTAAAGCATAGGAACTGACTCTTACAGATGCTGCGGGCCACAGGAAAAGCAAGAGGAAAACCTTCGAAGCCATGCCTTGGCAGATCCCCAAACCTCAGCTGAGAAGCGCGTGAGAAGCTGGAACTTGCAGTCCAGCGTGTCTCTGGGCGACTGCGAAGATGTCGGACCTCACGACCCGAGCTTAGATGGTTAGGTCTGACAAAAGCGTGCTGCGAACAAAGACTCTGCAGCCCTCTGCTGACTTTCGAACTCTGCCAAGACCAGATTCAAAACTGTCAGCCCAAACTACTCCAAACAGTACTGCACCAGACCAGGCTTCGGCACTCGAACTCCAACCCTGCAAAACCAGCCACCGGAATCAGATGGAAGAGCTCATGCTCTGAGGCGTTGGCTCGTGCACGTTGCTGGTAGCCTCACGGTGAGTCCGGATCTCTTCAAGGCAAGTGGATTCTGCCCAGAGCCCTTTTAGAAGAACCGCTTGAGGTCAGAACCAAGGCCTGAAACTCGGCAGAAGCCTTAAGTACGACAGTAAACATGTAGCTCATGGCGCCTCGGATGCTGTGTGGACACCGCTTTGAGAGACGTCACCAGCAACCTGGAAGTGCATGCCGGGGCTTGACAGACTCATCATGCAATGAACAAAAATGTACCAATACACATAGACATATATATATATATATCTGAAGGGAGAGATAAAAAAATTAAAAGGTCGCGATCAGAACAAGGTCCTACAAGTGATCATGCCAACCTGCCTGGTGCCATAGGCGCCATACCTCCAGAAAACCTCGGAACTGCGCCCCCCGCCCGTTGGGCGAACATGTACATGTCGGACTCGGCCTGAGAGCTGCCAGATCCAGGATTGCCAACGGCCATCTCTCTGACAGCTTTCGGCATCACTCGGCTTTGCTGTATCGTCTGTTCCTGGGAAGCCGGCACCTGAAGCGACGCTGCTGGCCTTGAGTTTTGTGAGACCGAAAGCGAGCCCACCGCCAGAGAGGAGAGAGCGAGAGGGCGAGAAGCAAAAATCACCTTGCCGGTTCCGACATGAGCCAAAGACTTCTCCCTTCTTATTTCTCTCCGCTTCCCCTTCCGCGCTAGTGGGCAAGCCCCGCGCGTCTGAGCGCCCATAAATCGGGGTCCACAGTCCAGCCGGGCTCGCATCCGGTGTCTGTAGGAGTGCTCCAAACACCGTGAGAATATGCAGACAGAATCGTCTCGCTCGCTCCCCCTCAGACCTCCCTCCCCCAAAGGGCAAAACTGGCTTCGCCCATACGAGAGTTTGGACGTGAGGCGCAATTCCTCCTCAGCGGATGATGACGAATGCAGCCTCAACCATCTCAGCCCACCGCCGCTCCAGACTTGGAGACGTCCTGCCGTGAATGTTCGTCTTGTTGGCTCACACGTCCTAAGTTCACCGCCTTTGGGCAGGAAACACACTACTGTACATTTACGGTTGTTGCTGCAATGTCCCCACATCCCATATTGGGGCTTTGGGGCAAGGTTTGTCAGTGCCTGCGCAGCTCGCCGGGCAAAGGCCAAGAAATCAGACCTGCGTGCACACTCTTGGCAGCAGCCGGTGCTTATTTTGCAGGGTCGTAGTCAAGCGCCATAGAGTCACATATGATACCGTCCCCTCAGTAAATCGGATACTGAAGCCAGAGGTTACGACTAGTCTGCTAGCAACTCCGTATGTCCACCTTGACGTTGCTGCGCTGGTCTCGGTCACCTGATCACGCTGCCCCAATGCGATTCGCCCGTTTAGCAGACATCTTTCTGATTAAACCACCACGCACACCTTGTGTGCCGCAGTGCCCCGTGCTTCCTACTGCCACATCTGCTTTGCGCGCTATAAACGCGTTCAAACTGATCATTGGTGGGGGAGTCGTCACCAAAACACGCAACGCCAGGTGCAGGAGGCTGTCCAACTGGACAGGCGGGGCAGTCCAGAGCTCAGGCCTTAAACCCGCTAACGCATTAAAGTCGCCCCATCCAAATTACAGCATGAGTAAAGGCTGCATAGAACAACAGCAGCGAATCGTCACAACGAAGCACCGCAAAGCTTGACCTTTGCGTGCAAGTTCCAGCAACATGTCTGAAAAGCCCTACTCTGCCTCGCTGTGCAAGCCATTTGCCACCTTCAGTGCAGCGAACCGCTCCGAGTCGATGCTACACCGACTTTAATATCCATATGCAGCTATCCAGGCCGGATGCATGTACAAAGAAATAAAGGTCCTTCTCAGGCTGTTTTCTGCGGATGTGAATCTACTTGGTGGCAGAGCCCCTCGCATGTCCACATGATATCGGTTCCAGGTAGGTGGAAGTCTTCAGACATGCAGAGCTGAAACGTTGCCTGCCGCGCGAAAGCAAGGACGCTGGTCTCACTGACCTGGGTGAAAAGTTGAGAAATGAAGCTGACATGAAGTCGCCAGCGCAACCCACAATATTCTCTAGCAGTGTCTTTGAGTGTCTTTGGAGTTGCTCCATCCCTTGAGGATTCTTGAGCATCCAGGCAGCACCGGACTTGGAGACATCCTCGGCAGCCTGTCGAGGTCGGGGATCTGTTCTAGCCTTTTCTTGCTACCATCTGGCCCCTGAAACCCTGCAGCAACCCCTAAACCTTGTAAAACACCGCTCCGGCCTTTCGAGCGAAGCTGAGGATGTCGGAGTCATTGGCACCCACCCCGGACTGGGAGATCTCCATGGCTGCCTACAATGAAGTTTCGGGTCAGAGCGGCATCCCTTCCCAAAGGCTCTGAAAACCGCCTTGCGCGCAAAAGCCAGCACGTCCGACTCGCTGGCACCTGGCCACAGCAAAGATCACTGCTCCGCAATTTGCCTCGTGGTAATGCAGTAGCTATATTCACTCGACACACTCTTCACGTGCCCCCAGTGTAAACTAATGAAGCTTGCAACCGCCCACTGGTGCCTTGACTGACGCCAGACTCTGAAACTGCTCGTGCGGCCTGAACCCACATCCAAAGATTTATCTAAAGATGACATGGGCACTAGCTGCTCTGCAGTTGCTTAGTTTCCCATGGCTTCCCTTTGACAGTCGTGTCGGGCAAATTAAACCTGTATCGTGCGCGGCTCGACAGCCTTAAGGTGTCTGACTATCTGGGTGGTGCATGGCCTGGTTGTGGAGTTCCTATGTCTTCCCGTCATGCCCTGGATATTTCTCTCGTGTCCTTTCTTCAGATGTGCGCCGCAATCCCTTCGCAGCTTGGATGCAGCTCAACACTCCTGAAGAAAGTATCGCTCCTGGCTTGCCTTCATGCAGTTCCTAGCAGCAACGAGCTCCCAACCGCAAGTCCCGCAGGGGGCTACAGTGCTGCGGCAGCTCCGGTGATGAGAAGCTCGAGGAAACAGCTTTACGATATGTCATGTCGTACAACAGTTTTCCATCACTGGCCTTTCTCGCAAAGGCCATGATGTCGGTGCCCTCCGTGATGCCAGTCCCTGGCCACGTTTGACTAGTATGAATGGACAGGGGTTGCAGCAGTCTTGAGAAATAAGGCGGGAACACGGTGTCAAGAGGAGCCCGAAATAATGCAAGCGGCACTAGAAGTGTCGCTAATGTAGCAGCATTTGCATTATGCCACAAGCGGAGATACAAACGTCACGTGGTTCAAATCTTAAGGTACACTACTATCAACTGTCACCTCGGTCTGTGCAGAAGACACCAACTACAGGGGTTGAAGCATTTTTGGCTTTGGCCTAAATAATCGCGCTACTCGCATGACGCTCCCAGAAAAAAGTGGTGGTTGCGTGCCGTCTACGGCAATGTAAAGCTGCGTACGGACTGGGCCATACCGGGCTATATATTGCAGATGACGTACGAACTAAGGCGCAGCCAGCTTTATTTGTCAGAGACGGTTTCTCTCCACCCTCTGTTGGGTTTACAGTTTGGTGCATCGACCTCAAAATGACCCGATCCCTAAAATAAAAATCCTTGGACAATGGCAGGCGCCTACACCGCTCTCGGACGCCTGCTGGGCTACCTGCCAAGCGGTCCCACTAAGCTCTGAACATGTCAAGCTGTGAACTTCAAAGTCTTCTGCAGATTTCCTGCTTTGTGCATCTTTGTGCTCCGTGTCTTTAGCGGACTCCAGCGTGTCGGGGAGCCTTGCGGGCGAAGGCCAGTACGTCACTTTCCGCCGCAGAGGTTCCAGCAGCCTGGGCTTTTGTAAAGCGCATTCAACTATGACACTCGCCAAGGATACAGCGTGCGCATACGTGGCAGACATGCGCAGTTGGTGCAAGAGAGCGCCGCCTGGGGGGAGCCTTAGCCCCCTGCTGATAGGTCCCCACGCTGCGCCACTCCCCGCGCGAAGCGCAGCAGCGCAGAGCCGCCGAGCGAGTTGCTGAGCGGAACGCGCACTCTCTTTAGCCCTGGGATCTTCGGGACTGAGGAGCAGGAGAGTCTCTAAGAGTAGCTAAGAGTAGATTTCTGACCGGGATTGTCGCTTTTGAAACCTGAATGTGCACAGGCCACCAAGCTGGCGGCATCCCTGCTATTGCCATGACATGACATGTGGTGGACTGCGCGCCGAGCTCGCTGAACATGTCGAAGCCATCAACTGCACGAAGAACAGCCAGCAAAAAGTGGCCCATGCTCTACTCTGTTCAATGTGTTCAATCCTGAAGGAACAGCCTCCAAGCAACAACGCCTGTGATTCGGATTTGACTACTTGAGTCACCACAAACCTGGTGATCGCAGCAACGTCCAGCCAGAATCTTGATTCAACCATTCCCGGCCAAAACGAGATGACGCTCCGAGCTCGCAAGATCGATACTGTAGTAGATTCGCTCGCAGACCCCGAAAAGGCGCAAGCACCATGACAGAAACGATCGCAGAACGCATCCTATGTCTGCAGCTTGCATCAAACCTGGCTACAGCAATCGGATTGTGGCCACGAGCCTCCAAAGCTTTCGGTGACAACGCCACTCTCCGATGGATTTGCTGCGACCCTCTTCGCGAACATCATGATGTCAGACCTGGAAGGAGCTCCTAGGGCCCATCGACACGCAGAAACTGGAGGAAGAATTGAATTGATTCTAATTGATGGAATTCCATGAGCCCGGAGATGAAACTAAGAAACGAATCCATTCTTTGTGATGCATTTCAATGATGCGGTTAGCGGCAAGTCGTGGATTTCCTCCCAGACGACAAACTTCAAAACGCCGTTCCGAGAGCCACACACGGAAACGCCGTCGGACTGTCCTACCTGAGCCACGGATAACCACGGGTTCACGCTTGCGAGGCTAGAACCTGGCATCAATCAATGGGTGGAGTTTTTTTTTTCTTCCCTTTTTTTTTTTTTGCTTCCCTTTTTTTTTTTTTGTTTTCTTGGCTTTTGCTAGGAAAGCCACCATTCCCTCCGTGTTTTCAAAGGATTCGTACTACTCTTACTCGGATTAGGAGCTGGTTATTTTTTGGGGGTATTTTTTTGGTTTTTTTGTTGGGTGTTTTTTGTGGTTTTCATGTGTCATCTAGAAAGGTCCTCTATTTACTATATGCGAAAAGGTATATATGTATATATGTATATATGTATATATGTATATATGTATATATGTATATATGTATATATGTATATATGTATATATGTATATATGTATATATGTATATATGTATATATGTATATATGTATATATGTATATATGTATATATGTGTATATGTATATATGTATATATGTATATATGTATATATTTATATTTGTATGTATATATGTATACTTATATATATATATATTGTTTAATTATTTAGCTATCTATATTTACATATATTTATGTCTTTATATATATTCATATATATATTTATATACATT